ACTATACACATGAGCCTCACCAGATGGGATACACAGAAATCAAATTGACTACATTTGTGGGAAGAGACGGTGGAAAACTCCATATCATCAGCCAAAGCAATGAGGGTTCAGGCTGAAGCTGAAGAAAATTAAAACAAATCCTTGAGAGTCAAAATACAGCCCACCTGATATTTGTTGTTGTTAAGTACCGCCGAGTTCGTTCCAACTTATAGTGACACTGGTTTATAGGGTTTCCAAGGAGCAAGTGGTGAGTTTGAACCTCCAACCTTGTAGTCCAGTGCACTAACCCATAGCGCCACACCAGGACTCTTCACCTGAATATACCCCCCACCCCAGAATTTAAAGACCATCTCAAGAACACATTTGATGCATTAGACACTACTGACCAAAGCCCAGCAGAGTTGTGGGATGACACCAACAACATCATACAGGAAGAAACAAAACGTCGTCAAAAAGACAGGTAACAAAGGAAAGACCAAAAGGGATGTCAGATGAGACTTTAACTTGGCCTTGAGCATAGATAATCTAAAATGAATGGAAGAAATGAGGAGGTAAAAGAACTGAACAGAACATTTCAAAGGGCAGCTCAAGAAGACAAAGTCAAATATCGCAAAGAAAGATGCAAAGACCTGGAGTTACAAAATCAAAAGGGAAGAACACACTCAGCATATCTCAAATTGAAAGAACTGAAGAAAAAATTCAAGCCTCGACTTTCACTATTGAAAGATTTGATGGGTAAAATATTGAACGATGCAGAAGGAATCAAAAGAAGATGGACGGAATACACAGTCACTGTACCCAAAAGAATCGGTTGGCGTTCAACCATTTCAAGAGGCAGCTTATGATCAAGAACCAAGCACTGAAGGTAGAAGTAAGTCCAAAGTGCACTGAAGACATTGGTGCAAAACAAGTCTCCAGGAATTGCTGGAATGCAAATTGAAATCTCTCAACAAACTGATACAGTGTTGTAAGCTCACGTGTATATCAAGAAATTGGGAAGACAGCTACTGGCCAACCATTGGACGAGCTCCATATCTGTGCCCCTTCCAAAGAGAAGTCACCCAACGGGATGTGGAAATCATTGGACAATATCATTAATATTGCATGCAAGTAAAATTTTGCTAAAGATAATTTAAAATGGCTGCAACAGTACATTGATGGAGAACTGCCAGGGCTTCAATCTGGAGTCAAAAGAGAATGTGGAACATCAGATTACCGACATCAGATGGATCTTGACTGAAAGCAGAGAATACCAGAAAGATGTTTACCTGTGCTTTATCGACTATGCAAAGGCTTTTGATTGTGTGGATCATGACAAGCTATGAATTTCAGAGAATGAGTATTCCGGAACACTTAGTTGTGCTCACGAAGAACCAAAAGGCAGTTGTTCAAACAGAACAAGAGGACACTGAATGGTTTTAAACCAGGAAAGGTGTATACCGGGGTTGTGTTCTTTCACCATACTTATTCAATCTGTACACTGAGCAAATAATCCAAGAAGCAGGGTTGGAGGAAGACTCATTAACAACCTGTAATATGTAGACAGTACAACCTTGCTTGCTGAAAGTGAGGAGGACTTGAAAACAAAAATTTTTAAAAGCAAGCAAAAATATTTACCACTGGAGCAATAAATAACATTAAGATAAATGGAGAAAAGATTGATAGTGTCAAAGACTTCATTTTGCTTGGATTAACCATCAACACTCATGGATGCAGCAGTCAAGAAATCAAATGATGTATTGCATAAAGCAAATCTGCTGCACAAGACCTCTTTAAAGTGTTGAAGAGCAAAGATATCAGTTTGAAGACTAAAGGTGAGCCTGACTCAAGCCATGGTATTTTCAATCACCTCATATGCATGTGAAAGCTGGATGGTGAATAAGGAAGACCATGGAAGAACTGATGCATTTGAGTTATGGTGTTGGAGGAAGATATTAAATGTACCATGGACTGCTAAAAGAACAAACAGATCTGTGTTGGAAGAAGTGCAGGATGCTCCTTAGACGCCAGGATCCTGAGACTTCGTCTCTCCTACTTCGGATATGCCGTCAGGAGAGACCAGTCCCTGAAGAAGGACATCTTGCTTGATAAAGTGGAGGTTCGACAAAAACAGGGAAGATCACCCCCTCCCACCCCACAAATGAGACGGAATGACAGTGTGGCAGCAGTAATGGGCTCAAATGTAACAACCATTGTGAGGATGATGTCAGACTAGACAGTGTTTCATTTTGTTGTACATAAGGTCACTATGAGTTGGAACTGACTCGATGAGATGGATCTGACACTATGAGATGGGACATCCTCAGGGGACGGAAGGCTGGAAAGGGAAAAGCGTCACTGGTTGGAAACGTCACAGACCTGTGTGAACTTCCTAAGTCTCCTATGACAGTTTACGAACAGGCTCCGTTCCAAGTCTGTCTTGAAGTCAAATTTGTCAGAACACTGCGTATCTTATACTTTCTTAGCATGGCGGGGTCTTCAAAAATTCTTGGGAAAATGTAATTTCAATATAATTTTCCCACAAACTTTTGAAGCCCCCTAGTCCGGTGTGAGGAGCCCTGATATGGCGCTGTAGGTGAATGTGGTGGACTGCAAAGTCAGTTTGAAGCATAAGGTCGGCGGTTCAAGCTCACTAGCTGCTTCTCAGAAACCCTATACAGGGTCGCTAGGGGTCAGAACCGACTCGACAGCACCTAGGAAAGACAAGAAGTTGAGTGTAGTCTTGATGTGGCCCTACAGGATATGCACTGGACTGAAAGGTTGGTTTGAATTGCAAGGTCGGCGGTTCAAACTCACCAGCCACCTCCTCAGAAACCCAATACAGGGTTACTGTGAGTCACACCTCACTAAATGGCACTTAACAACAAGTTGAGTGTAGGAGTTCTGATAAGGCATTGAAGGGTAAGCACTAGACTGCTAGCCACAAGGTCAGGTATTCAAATTCACCTATCACTCCTTGGATGTATGGATGGATCTTGTCTGAAAGCAGAAAATACTAGAAAGATGCTTACCTGTGCTTTAATGACTATGCAAAGGCTTTTGACTGCATGGATCATGACAAGCTATGGACAACAATGCAGTGAATGAGCATTCTGGAACACTTAATTGTGCACATGAAGAACCTGTACATAGACCAAGAGGCAGTGGTTTGAACAGAACAAGGGAACACTTACGCCAGGGTTGTGGTCTTTCACCATACTTATTCAATCTGTATGCTGAGCAAAAGATCCAAGAAGCTGGATTATATGAAGAAGAATGTGGCATCAAGATATAAATTTGAGGACTCAGGTGTCATTAAGAAGACAAGAAAGGAGGAAAAGGTCAAAATGGATGTCAGAAAAGACACAGAAACTTGCTGTCCAGAGCAGAGATGCTAAAGAAAATGGAAGAAATGAGGAGGTACAAGAGCTGAACAGAAAACTTCAAAGATCAGCTCGAGAAGATAAAGCCAAATATTACAGCAAAATGTGCAAAGATCTGGAACCAGAAATCCAAAAAGGAAGAACACACTCAGCATTTCTCAAGCTGGGGGAACTGAAGAAAAATTCAAGCCCCGACTTTCATTATTGAGGGATTCTCTGGGCAAATTATTGAATGATGCAGAAAGCATCAAGAGAAGATGAAAGGAATACACAGAATCACTGTATCAGAAGGAAATGGTTGATGTTCAACCATTTCAAGAGGTAGCATATGATCAAGAGCCAATGGTAAGTTCAAGGTGCATTGAAGGAATTGGCAAAGAACAAGGCACCAGGAATTGATAGAATAAAAATTGAAATTTTTCAAGAAAGTGAGGTGACACTGGAGGCACTCACTCATCTCTGCCAAGAAATTTGGAAGACAACTATGTGGCCGACTGATTGGAAGAGATCCATATTTGTGCCCATTCCAAAGAGAGGTGACCCAACGGGATGCAGAAATCATCAGACAATCTCTTTGATATCCTATGTGTGTAAAGTTTTACTAAAGGTAATATAGAAACGGCTACAATCATACATTGACAGAGAACTTCCAGAGGTTCAAGCTGGATTCAGAAGAGGCCATGGAACGAGGGATATTATTGCTGATGTACAATGGATCTTGGCTGAAAGCCAAGATACACTAAAACATATTTCATATAATAATATGGCAATAATAATAATGTTTTGGTGCATGTTACAAAGTAGGAATCGTTTGTTTTTACAAATCATGGTACAGGTTATTCATACACCGGACATTCATAACTCAGGGACCGCATGTACCACAAACTCAGTCAGCGCCCAGCCATCAGTCAGTTCTGTTGGCAACCTGTGTAGGGTTTCCAACACTGTCAGCCTTTACGGGAGCAGAAAACTTCATCTTTATCCTGTAGAGCGGCTGGTGGGTTTGAACTGCCTGTATAGGGTTTCTGAGGGTTTGAACCACTAACCCTGTGGTCCACAGTCCAGTGCTTACTCTATAGCGCCACACCAGCAGTGCTTGTGGTTACTAGTCGAGCGCTTATCCCACAGCACCACCAGAGTGCACACTCTCTCTTTCCTTATGCTGTCAAGTCAGTTTCAACTCATAGTGACCCTGTATAGAGTTTACAAGGAGCGGCTGGTGGATTTGAACTGACAACCTTTGGATTAGCAGTCCAGTGCTAGTCCTGCAGTTCCATTGAACTTTCCTGAGCAACTTCAAAAGCCATACTTTCAAACGGGGTCAGATGTTCACAGGTACCTGGGGCAGGACTTTGAGCCTTGTGGGGAGAGGGGTCAGATGGCACCTTGGTAAGTGTTCCAGATGTCTGCAGGTTGCACAGTGCTGATTTAATGCACTGAGACTGTGGGTCTGGGGGCGGGGGGTGGGGGTTGTCTTGGCCATGTGTGCGTGGATGCAGGAGCTGCTCTGCATCAGTTAGCCACACAGCCTGTGGGGTCTCCTTCCTGTTGCTCTGTGCCTCCCAAGGGACCCATACCAAGCCCTCCTCAGGACTGGTGTGCCCTGCGCCCGCCTGACCCAGACATCTCCCCTCACAGTACGGCATCAAGAAGAAGGAGGAGCGTGAGGCCGAGGCCCAGGCCGCCATGGAAGCCAATGCGGAGGGCAGCCTGACTCGGCCCAAGAAGGCCATCCCGCCGGGCTGTGGGGACGAGGCCGAGGAGGAGGACGAGAGTATCCTGGACACGGTCATTAAGTACCTGCCGGGGCCACTCCAGGACATGTTCAAGAAGTAACACCCTAATGTGGACAGACACTGGCCCGAGCTGGAGCCCCCATTGCCCCCATTGTCCCGCTCGTTGCCCCCCCCTGTACATACCCCTCTGAGGAGGCCCCTGAAGGGATGTCGGGAGCAGAGTACAGCCGCCCCCATGCCAATATAAGCCATAGTCCTAGGTCTATCCGCCCTGCCCCTTCACACCTTGGGAGCCTCCGTCCCCGGCCCACCCCAGGCACTGCCATCAACACCCCCTCAGCCTCCAAGCCCAGGATGGGCCCACCTGCTCTTCTGGCTTCTCCCCTAGAGCCGGGATGCCTCCTCCTACTCAGCCCTACATTGCCCACCCAGCAGTGCCCTAGGCTGGGGCCACAGGAAGGGCCGGCCCCTCGACCACCCCTCGGTGCGCCGGCCCTGTGTTGGTGTGCACTGGTCCAGGCCCAAACTCAGGAGCACAGCCATAGTGGGGAGCCACAGTCAGTTGCTGAGGAGTGCCCCGTACTGGGGCAGGTGTGCAAAGCCCCTCCCTCTCCTGGTCAGCCTGGACCCCAACCCTCCTCTCACCACCAACACGGACTCCCTGGTAGGCCAGGCGGCCTCTGGTCTCGTCCTATCTCTGTATGTCCACTCAAGGCCCATCCATCACACTCTATCTGCACCTACACTGTGCTCACACCATTTGTCCGCCAGTCTCTGTCCTCTCCCTCTGTCCTCCTCCTCCGGAAGGTTCTGCTTTGTAGATGCACTATGGCATTTCCCTTACCCAACCAAGAGGAAACAAAGCAATAGGGTTAGGGAAAACTCTCAGATACACACACACACACACACACACACACACACACACACACACACACACGAGTTCCTCACACACAAGGGCTCACACATTGACTTTCTCACACACATACTTCGAGTGTGACACACACCAAGTTGTCTTTGTGTCTGTCTCACACACACATACATACACAAAGTCCCCCCAACACCCCTTCTCTCTGTCACACACACACACACACACACACACACACACACACACACACACATCTCCTGAAGCTCAGACTCCCTGACCTCTCCCTGGAGAACACCTGCCCAGCAAAGAAAGACTGGACCCCTGAGCCCAGCCCACTTCCCTCCCTGGCTAGCACCTCGGGTCTTGTGCCAGGGCTGGCTGTCACCCCCCTCTTGCCTGGGACCCCTGCCCTCATTCTAGGAACTGATGAGGTGCAAGAAGGGAGACAAATCACCCAGCCCGTACCCTCTCCCCCACCACCATAGGCTTCTGGGCAGGGGTGCAGCCCGGGCTGGGGACTTGGGCCGTGTAGCTTTGGTCCCAGATGAAGTGGAGTTCAACCTGGTCCCCCTCCGCGAGGTGGGCATCTCTTCCTCCTCCCCTGTGCCCCTCTGTACACACGCAACCATGTTTAATTTGCAGCCCAATATGTTGAATCTCAGGTAAATGAGGTCTTCTGTATTGGAGGATTTTTATCTGAACAGAAAGACCGGGTCTCGGTCCCGCTGAGGCCCTTTCTGTCCATAGAAAAGATCCGTCCACCGTCTCCACGTGTTGCGGGCAGGGGCTTGGCTTGACATTGACCTTCATGAGAAGCCATATCAATTAGACCGCAATACTAACTCCAGACGAGAGCTGCCCCGGGCTCCCCGCCGGTGCCCCCCCCCCCCCTGCCGGGGCGCCCCCCGCGCGTTGTGCTCGTCCCGCCAATCCCTCTCGAACCCCTCTCTGTCCCCGTCTTTTTTAAATGCCTGTTTTCACAATTCCTAAAAGCCAGCTCCAAGCAGACAGGGCGTTTTCTCGTAGAAACTCCGCATCCCGTTCCCAGCGCATGGGGCGCCCCGGGGCAGCCGAGCCTAATGTAGACCGTGGATGTTGTCTGTCTGTCCGTCTGTCCTTGCTCCAGCGCCTCCTCCTGCATGACGGGGGTTCTCACGTGTGTTCTCTTGGATGGAATCACAGCCAATAAACACCACGTTCCCGCCCGATTCTGATTGTGTGGGCGGAGATGGGAGGGGGAATCCTAACCCTAACCCCGCGGTGCACCCTCCCATCTCCTTCTCTCTGGCTTTTAGGGCCCGAGGGCGAGCAGACTGCTCAGTTCCCTCCACACCCTGCCAGGTAGGAAGCTCTTCCTTTTGGGGTAACTGCAAGGGTCTTCCCAGCACCCAGTGCCCAGACTCCACCTCCTCTAGCTTTCTTCCAGGGCAGCCCCAGCCAGAGTGATCCTGAGTTCACTCCCCAATCCCGCCCCAAATGCGGACCTCCCCGCTCCTTACCTTGGACCACACTGGGCTTCCTGCTCCATCATCTCGGATACACCAGACTCCAACAGTCGTCCCATAGGGAAGGAACATCTGCCGCTCTGACCTGAAGCCAGTGGAGGTGCCCATGGGGACCTGCTGGGTCTCTGGCCTGGCATCCCCAGAGATTCTATCTACCCTGGGTGCCCCTTCTTTCATTGCACAGCCTCACCCTTGGGTGCTGTGGCCACTTTTTCCCCAGAAAGCCTCCGGGGGGCTGGGGGAGGCAACGATCTGGGTGGTCCATGACCCTCCCCATGCTGCTGGCTGGGACCCACAGGGAGCTTCTGGCAAAGTCTGAGCCAGCAGAGGGCAGCCCCCTCCCAACTTCCCCTCCCCCTGGGCTCCTAACCCAGAGAGGATTGCTTAGAACATAGATCCCCCAGCCTGGGCTCTGAGACTGTATGGGGTTTGGATGTGAATGCGCTCTTAACAATATATACCAAGGTCCCTATTCCTACCACAGTACCCTTCCATCTGCTGGGCTGGCAGCAACTGTCTGCCCAGCTTTTTCTGGATCAGAAACGCAGACACAAGTCTTTGCAGATAACTCTGTGGGCTTCAGGCCCATCCCACTCCCACATGTCACACACCCCCCCCCACGGACGCTTATTAGACGGTACCCAAAGTCCACCCACCATTCAGTTTCACCCCACACTCTACAGTCTGGGCCTGGACCCCTCTGGGACAGCATGAAGACCCTCGTGCCTTCCTTCATAAAGACCAGCTCAGTGGATGGGAACCTGGACAGACGCCTCGCCCACACACCTGCAGAGATGGACCTAGGGTTCTCCCATGTGATGTGTGGAGCTCTGTTCTAAGGCACCAAGGATGATCGAAGACCCCGCCCCCTTCCTACCTAATTCCCGGGGACAGGAGATGGAGTGGAGGACGTTTTGGTTGTGGAGCAGGAGACAGAGGCTGAGGGGGCTGTGAGTGGCCAGGAGGGGGCCTGAGGAGGAGCTTGTAGGGTGCAAAGGCCCTGAGGTAGGAACTGCCCAGTGTTTGGGAATCTGTGAAGAAGGGAGTGTGCTGGCCTTGCCCCCAAATGTCTGTTTTAGGACCCCACTGACTCTTGGGGAGTGGCTTTCCTTTATGGATGTTTGTTGTTTAAGTGATATAGAGTCAGTTCTGACTCATAGCAACCCTCCATAGGGTTCCCGAAGAGCGGCTGATGAGCTTGAACCACCGACCTTGTGGTCCAGTGCATTAACTTTACGGCATGGTCTAAGGTTGACTGGGCAGCCTCTGACCCTGAGAGGGGAGGGGAGGGTACAGATCCAGAAGGTATGGGCCCAGGTGTTCCTGAAGTTCCTGACCGAGTGCCATTACTCTAGGCAACCACTAGGGACTGGAACGCAGCCTGCAAAAGCCACATCTTAACTACAAGCTACTAAACCTTCAAGGGTATCAAGAAAATTGGTAAAGGTCCAGGAATTAAGGGTCCTTCTGTCCAGTAGAGCAGTTCTACTCTGTCCTGTTGGGTAGCTAGCTGTGAGCTGCAACGGACACCAGAGCAGTGAGTTTGTTCCGCTGTTTTAATTCAGAGAAACAAGTCATTCGGTTCAAAACCCAGACAGCCAGAGGTGGGTTCAGGCCTGAGTCTGAGCCACCTATCCACACATTTGGGAAACAGCGCCCCCATCCTGTCAAGTCTGAAAGGAGGTTGGTGGGAGGGGGGTGGGTTAGACCTGGGATAGAAGAGAAGGTTCTATGGAGGCTGAAGGGTGAAGGTGAGACCGGACAAAGAGGGTACTGGACTGGGAGAATGAAAGAGAGCCAGGATGTGGGGGACAGAAAGGGGTCGGGCTGGAGGAACAGACAAGGGGTGGAGCTAAGTAGAGACTGACAGGGACCAGGATGAGGGGAGAGAAGAGATCAGGCTCGGGGGAACAAAGAGGAAGGCGGACCTGGAGGGACAGAGAGGCATGGGCACAGAGGAAGCCAGGCTAGGGGGACCAGAGACGAGGGGACAGAAAGGGAGCTGGGATTGGGGGCACTGAGGGGGATGGACTGGTGTGACAGAGAGGGGACAAGTTTGGGGGACAGAGAAGAGACCAGGATGGGGGGACAGAAAGGGAACTGGGCTTAGTGGGACAGAAAAGCCAGGCTGGGGGGACAGACAAGGGGCATGGCTGGGATGACAGAGGAGGCTGGGCGGGGGGAGGCGAGCAGAGAGGGGCCAAGACTGGGCGGCAGTGAGGGGAGCCTCGGGGGACGAAGAGGGGCCCGGTGGGGGCGGCATTTGGGGGTAGAGAGGGGACGAGGCTGGGAGGTAGCTAGGGAGCTGGGTCGGGGAGGACAGAGAGGGGACCGGAATTGGGGCGGGGAAAGAGGGGGCTGGGCTGGGCAGGATAAGATGGGTGGAGGCCAGGCTTCGGCTGCAGCCAGTGTACCGCCCCTGGAAAGGAGGGGCGAGGCAGGGCTCCATCCCCGTGGAGCTGGGCTCCCAGATGGGCATGGGGGGGGGCAACTCTGCCACGACCCGGAGCTCCGGCTAAGCAGCAGCCAGCCCTGCGCCCAGGGGCAGGACAGCGGATCTCAGAGCTTGGGTGGACCCAACAAAGAGGGGGTCCAGCCGTACTCGCCCCCACCACGGTCTAGTCCTGATGTGGCGCTGCGGGTTATTGCGCTCGACTGTAAAGTCGGCTTGAACCGCAAGATCGGCGGTTCAAGCTCACCAGCAGCACCTCGGAAACCCTATACAGGGTC